AAAGTGAAAGTATTTCACTTGCTGGCTTGTTAACAGGCTGCTTTCCAACAGGCCACTAGTGCCAGTGTGCGCTCACTAGATTTCAGTTGTATTAGTAGAACAATAAAGTCTTAAACGGAAAAGATAGTTGCCTGATTTTCTAAATGTTTGCATCTGCCCTGCTCTGTGACTGTGACAAGCGCCCGACCAGCGCTTTACTGCGGAACTGCGACACAGCCTGGATCACAGCTCATTTCGGGTTAATGAAGCAAAATGCAGATCACAGACTGGTTACGTTATGAAGGTATGAATGGAAAATGTAGCGAAATTAAGAGTATGCCTACATTAGATGTACCCACCCCTGCTGCAGACATCATCACTGCTGCCTTCAGCTAGAAGTAACAGCAGCACAAAAGAAAAGTCTGTAATATTGATGCACTTTGCTGCACCGGCCTCCAGCAACTGTGTGTGAGTGATTGACTGGTCACTTAGTAAACCGCCTCCTATATGCGCCAGGAAGGCAATGCGAAATAAAACTTTACATTAGGAAAGGAGGGGGGGCAAACATAGATTTTGAAATGAAATATGTAAAATGCCTCCTCTGCCTATCAGGTGATCAACCTCACCACAAATCCACACAGGTTAATTTCAGCGCACTGATAAAGCACAGCTTACAGCCGCTTCAGGTGGAGCAGAGAGGACACAGAGCTACAGCTGGTTCATCTTATTCTCCCGCTAATTTACAGGAGAATAAATAATAATAGTAATCTTGCTCGCTCACTCCCGCGCGCGTTACGTACTGGAGCCTGTCGGCCTCCGTGGTCGTTAGTCGGTCCCGCTGCCATACGAATATTTGGCTGTTGCCGTAGTAACGCCTCTGGAGTGCTGATTCTGCAGATTCAGGAGTAAACGAGTGGAGACGACGAAGCCTGTGAATATAGCAGGAAGGAGGCGGTTTGATCCGACTGCTGTTCACTGGTTTGTGCTGTCAGATCACAGACCGCAGACGTGTGTGTGTGTGTGTGTGCACAACTGTTGGTATGTAGGGGATTCATTTGGACTGTTACATAAATATTAGTCTTCAATTCATACATACCTCCTTCTCCTCACCGTGATTTTTAAAAAGTTCTCTCCTTGTCTCCTCTTCTCTCCTCACTTCACCTTGTCTCCTCTCCTTGTTTCCTCTCAGATTGCTTCCTTTTATTTTCTGTCATTATCCCCTCTACTCAACTTCTTTCTCTCCTTGTTTCCTCTCCTTTCTTCACCTTTTTTCTTTTCCTTTCTTCAACCTCTTTTCATCTTTCCCTGTTTTCTTCTATTGCTTCCTTTTATTTCCTCTCCTTACTTCTTTCCTCTCTTCACTGTGTTTCCTCTTCTTTCTTCCTCTCACATTGCTTCATTTTATTTTCTCTCCCTGACTCCTCTACTCACCTTCTTCATCTCCTTGTTTCCTCTCCTCACCTTGCTTCCTTGCCTTGCATTTTTACATTTTCTCTCCTTGGCTCCTCCCCTGTCCTGTTTCCTTTTATTACCTCTCATTGACTCCTCTCTTCACTGTGTTTCCTCTCCTTTCTCCTTGTTTCCTGTATGCTTGTCGACCGGTTTCCTTGTGTTGCAATGGGGAACAGAAAACAACATATTAGTCGTTTGGGAAAAAAACACTTATTTATGTCATTTTGAAGACATCAACTATTGACCTATTCTGTCTTTTCCATATGAGGACATGTTGTTCAACTGTGTTGGTTGATTTGTGACCAGGAGGGAGGGGTGTGTGTGTGTGTGTGGGTGTGTGTGTGTGTGTGTGTGTGTGTGTGGTGGAGGCAGTTGGTGTAAATGGTATTTTCATGGCAAACAGCTGGACTGGTTTATTTAAACCCACCCGTTGTGGAAGGGGTGAGAAGGTGGGGGAGGAGGGGAGTGCTGACCTGAGAATGACACCCGGGGTGGGCGGGGCTTAGCAACTGTTTTACAAGCAGTGGGTTGGTGTGTATTTGTGTGTGTGTTTGGTGATTGTGGTTGTGTAGCTGCTTTGTTTAAAACCTCAGCAGAGGTTTCTGACTTTACAGAGAGGAGCTACACCTCTCCACCTCAGGGGCGGGGCTGGAGGCGAGGGAGGAGCGGGTAGTTGAATAATAAATAAATTTATACTTTGAAAAGCTTTCTCAAAATGTTTTAACACTACTCTTTTATTGTACACATATGTAAATATAAATTTTATATTTATTCTTTTATTATTCTTTTTTTAATCATCTTGTGAGACTGTCCTACAGCATGTACTGTAGTCTTCCAGTAAAACGCGTTTTTAAATTGTTTCTTAGAAAATGCTTACAGAACGAGTAGCTCTGCCCTTATCTGTTATCTTGTACACTCTATTTTGTATTTTTAGGAGAGCACAAAGTAAAGTGATTAGATTATTTGAGTATTATCAGCTGTTCAGGGAGGAGGCTCCATCGATATCAGACCAGCTGATATCAAATATTTTACTGAAAGTGGTTTCTGCGCAGCTTCTGACAGCTTAGTGTAGCTTCCCCTAAAAATCCTTCCTCCTTTCTGTATCTAACCCTTCCTCCTTCTCCTCCCCTCTTCCTCCTCCCCCTGCTTGCCTTTTTTTACTCCCTGAAAAGGCCGTTGTGGCTTTTGTTTTCCTCAAAAGGAAACAGGGTCGTCCCCCCACTTTTCTTTCTTTCTTTTTTTTACCCCCTCTCCTCCCTATTTTCTGAATAAGTTGAAATGGAACCATCCCACCTGGGGGGGGGGGGGGGGGGGGGTTGGTTGTAGGGGGCATAAATCAAGTGGCGAACCACAGAGCTTTCACTCCGGGGCGAGTCAGGAGGAGTCGGCGGGCAGTTCAGAAGGCTTTAAGCTGAGGAAGACCAGAGCACTCCTCTGCAGAGGGGAGGCGGCTGGGGGAATATGGGGGAATAGGGGGTGGGGGGGTCACCGAAGGTGCTAGGTCATAGTTCACGCATACCAGGATAATGGCTTTCAAGAGTGTACTTAGAAGGGGACATGTATGAATGCACTGCTGAAGCCCGACGCCACCTCAGACTTCGCCCCCCGGCTTCAGTGCAGTTAACACTTTCTGTCACTGTATTAACCTGGTTAATACGCAGTGTATTAATCCTTGTATTAGCTGTGGGAAAATAATGTAAACACAATAATTGCTAAAGTAGCCTACTATAATCTGACTAATGTGCTGGTTGCCCTGTTGTGTACAACAATATATATTCATTGATTGGCAGTTGGCCAAGCTTCAGTAACACCACAGCAAAATAACAAACAGCTCAATTTAAATTGATTTAAATTGCAAATACATAAATCAGAATTTAACTAAGTAAGTTATTTTAGCTGTTAAACTGATCCATTAGCTAACCTGAACTAGGGCTGCAACTAATCATTATTTTTATAGTCAACTAATCTGTTTCAAATCTAAACTAATCTGTTATTTTCTCAATTGATTGATAAGTTGTCTATAAATAGTTAGTAAATGGTGGAAAATGTCAATCAGTGTTTCCAAAAGCCCAAGAGGACATCCTAAAATGTCTTGTTTTGTACACAACCCAAATATATTCAGTTTAATGTCATAGTTGAGTAAATCAAGCAGATTTTTTTTTAATTGCTCAAACCGAAAATAGTTGGAGTCATTTAATAGTCAACCAATCAAGTAATCGACTAATTGTTGCAGATCTAACCTGAACTTAACTTTTAATGGTAGCTACTAAACTGAGCTGTTAGCTAACCTGAACCAAACTGTTATAGCGACTATGACTTTTAGCATTAGCTTTTAGCAGAAATCTAAGTTTAAGCTGCTGATCCGAACCTCTGGCTAATGAAAAGTAAAAGATGTTAGCTACTACACTAAATTTAGTTTACTAAACCAAACAGTTTTAGCTGTTTAACAGAATTGTTCAGCAAACTGTTCTTGCTGCTAAACCTGACTTTTAGCTTAAGCTTTTAGTGGAAATCTAAGTTTAAGCTGCTGAAATGGGCCACTTGCTAATAAAAACCAAACAATTTGAGCTACTAAACTGAATTTAGCTTCCTGCAACCAAACAGTTTATGTTTAACAGAATTATTAAGCTGACCTGAACTAACTGTTTTAGCTGCTAAACCTGACTTTAGCTTTAAGTTTAAGCTGCTGAACCAAACCTCTGGCTAATGAAAACCAAAAGATTTGAGCTACTAAACTGATTTTAGCTTACTGAAACCAAACTGTTTTAGCTGTTTAACAGAATTGTTTAGCTAACATGAACTGAATTGTTTTAGCTGATAAACCTTTTAGCTTTAGTGGAAATCTAATGAAAACCAAAAAGGTTTAGCTACTAAACTGAATTTAATTTACTGAAACCAAACTGTAAGTTAACCTGAACCAAACTGCATGACCTGATGAACTGGACCAGTCAAACTAGTGTTCTATCTGCTAAATCAAACTGTTGGCTAATGGAATCAAACTGCTTTAGCTGCTAAACCAGTGGTTTTCTTTGCTTCTTGCTGTTAATCATTGTTTCCATATCAATTACTCCATTAACATGGAAATGTTTATTTGTTTGTATCACACACAGTTACTTTTTGATGCAACATTGGAAAATTTCTGTATTTCCATCCAATTGGTCCAAAACATTTGTCGTTTTCTTTCTAGTTTACAAAATTTCCGTGCCCCATAATGTATAATAATTACTTAGCAGTTTGTTGAAACATGAAGATTATTTTAAAAGTATGTGTAATGTAGCCTAATGTGGACCTTACAACATTATGTTAGCATTTACACTGATAGATGTGGACATTGTCGGTTTGAAGGCTCAGAAAATAAGAAAGAAAACATTACATATCAGAGAAACCTGAGAGATTCTGTGTGCAGTGAGATGTTTGATGTCCCACTGTGAATCAGAGCTTTGCCTCTGTGAGCAGCAAGGATGTTGAGGTTTCTCTGCAGCTCTACAGGATTCTCCACCTCATTTATTAACTGCCACTATGTGTCTCCTTCTCCTCCCTCCTTCTTCTTCCTCCTCTTCTTTTTGCAGGTTCATCAACGCGAGGCGGCGGATCGTTCAGCCCATGATCGACCAATCGAACCGAGCAGGCAGGTTTTAGTTCTTTATATTTACGCTTGGGTCCAGATATGCATCCAGTCAGGGCTCCAGCAAAAAGCTTAATTCTTATCAATCAATTTACAGGCTTTAAGCAAATATTCAAAGCATGATCAAATATTGTATCCTTCCCATAATTAGAATTGATAGACATTATTTTGTTTAGAACACATGCTTTGACCTTCTTTTCTACCTGTTAATGGTGATATTTTGAACACCCGGGGTCACATTCTCCCAATTTCCTCCCAATTTATGACAGATGTTCACAACTGTGTGTCCTGTTCATATCTACATTACATTTCCTGGCTCAGTACAGTACGTATTAGTCCTACAACTCTCTCTCTCTAATGCTTTCCGTCCAGACAAGGAACATATATGTGATGCACAAGCCCGGCAAGTATAGGTTAGAAAAGTGGCCCAAATCCAAAGTGGAAAAGATTCCATGTAACTTGTTCACACTGTTATAAACAAATCAGATCTGAGTCACTTTGGCCTGCAGTCTGAACGCAGCCACAGTAATGTATGATAATGGCGTGGGCAATGAATACACTTCCCTTTGTTCCAGGAAGGTCTGACTTTATTTGACAGTTGGTGTCGGAAAAGCAAATAAAATGCAGAAGAATTGAAACTCAAACATAGATACTGTGATCGTTGAAGCTTCTTGTTTTGATCAAGTAACAATTTTGGATAGAGCTATCACTATTGATAATGAAGAATTGAGACATAATTTCTTTAAAAAATTCATAATTATGGCATTGATTAGTGGGTCTGTTTATCCGTAGTGCCACGCCTCATTTGAGTGACAACCTTTGTTTTGATGTTACTTTAATGCAGTTACATACTTAGCCTCGTGCTTTCCTGTTGTCCATGAAGTCTGATAATTGAGTTCTGCGATGGACTGGCGACCTGTCCATGGTGTACCCCGCCTTTTGTCCAATGTCAGCTGGGATTGGCTCCAGCCCCCGCAACCCTGAACTCAGGATAAACTGTTGACGATGGATGGATGGATGGATGGATAATTGAGTTTACTGATAAGACAACAGGGAATGCAATAATTTTTTACATGTTGGAAAAGTAGTTTTAATTGTGAGTGAATGCCCTAATTATGTGCAAGTTTTGCTGACTTCATTGCGGTCCAAGAATCCGCTTCAGTAGCAGCCAGCTTTCGGCCTGTGATGGCTTTTATGTTGTGAAAGTCAACATGAGTCTGTCAGTCAGCCATGCAACATTTTAACCACTATTTCGGCCAAACCAAAATAAAATATACGACCATGATAAGTGTTAGAATCCTTCATTTGTTCTGGCATTTGCTTTTATAGCTAAAGGAGTTTTTGTAACCTGCCTAGCTGAAATATCATGCAGCTCTGTGTGACGTGTGAACTGTATATTGTTAAAAGCTGAGTCAAGAACATGTTGCATAATTGCAATGGATTATGATGTACTGGATGCCCCTGTAAGAGCGTATTGGAGTACATTTACATGCACATGAGGTTTGATTAAATCCAAACAAACAAACCCATTTATTCATATCCCTGTATGCAGGAATTTTACAGTATCTGGTTTCTGATCATTTGCGTGCATGGGTGCAAGTGTGTCCTCGACTGTCACTTTTCTACCAACTCAGAAGTTGAGGCTGAACTCACTTTATTTTCTGGGAGTCTGGACATTGTAACATCTGTCCTCTTTATTACCTTTGTCATCCCTTTCACTTTTATGTCAGCGTGTAGACTATTATTACATCATTTATCATAAATTTTGTTCTACTGACTAGCTACAATGTAATTTGATTTGGGGACACAAGTGTGAACATGACTGATATCAGAAACTGGATTGGGAGTTTACATGCCACAGTATTCGGGGTTTCTGTTGGCGTTCTCCAGCTGGCATATGCAGGGTTTATCCAAATTTCTGAATGCACAAAACTATACAGTGATACTCCAAAAACCTGATTATAACTGCAATACTAATGTGCATGTAAAGAGAGCAGGAAAAAAGCAGCATGGGCACTAAAAAGTGTCAGTGGTGAACCCCCCCCCACTTACTGTGTCTCTTTGCTCCTCAGTGTGTTAAAGCGCACAGAAAGGCTTAAACTCCAGGATTGAATGGCCTCTAAACCCCAGCAGGATTAGCTCCAGACAAAGACGCTAATCGCTTTGACTGACCACGCCATTGAACATTTTAACCTGGGATTAAAACAAATAGGAGCCCGGCTAAAGCAGGGCTAAAGTACCGCTAGCCTTTTGGCCCCTAAGCTTTGTTAGCATTAACCCCGGGGCTGACTTCCACACAAAAGCATCGGTACACTGCTGAATGACCGCGATGAGAAACTGTTAAAGACTTGAGTCCTGGGAATTTGACTATGTAGATTTAAAAACCCTCACTTCCCCTCAAGATGAACCCTTATCAAGCGGATTTCCCCACGAGGATGAAAACGTTTACTTTAAAGTCCCATATTTGATTAATGGTCGACCGTAATAGTTTCTGGACAACATTTGAGCTCAATGGCGCAAAGGAAGAAGAGATATCAGGCTGTCAGGACCTAAGAACAAATTTAGAATATCAGCAGCTTTTTGCTTCAACTCTCATCTTTCCTGTAATTCCAATCAGTTCTCCCTCTCAAGTCATCACACATGGATGCTTGGTGTCAGGTTTTAATGCACTTTAGCGTCATTGTTTACCACTTAAGGTAGGCCTAGTATAAATAACAGAATAGTCCGAATAAGGAGGAGGGATGGGTCAGACACCGGACTTTCATCCCGGAGTCTCATGTTTGTTTCCCGTGTGAACGGCATCATTGATGCTTTTTAGTAATGCTCTGAAAGTTACATAACTTACATAACTTAGTAGCATACTTATTTTAACCAAAACCATTCTTTTCTTAAACCTAACTGAAATGCAACGTTTCACAATAGAATAGAAAGCTTTTACTGTCATTGTACAAAATATACAACAAAATTAGAAGTACTACTCCGAAACGGTGCAAACCAAACAACAAGAAACAGTTAAGACAAACACAGAATGTTACATTTAGAAAGAATATTGCACGTAAGAAGATATTGCACTGAATGTAATAAATCATTTAAAATGATTTAAAAGAAATAAAAGATATTTTGCTTAGTAAGCTGTTGTTTACAGTGAATTGTAAAAGTCTCAGCACAAAATGTTATTAAAGTGTTAATTATTAAAATGAACATGATCTTAAGGCTGTTGGTCCGGCTGTTAATGCACCAATACTGGCTGCTAGTTTCATGTAACAATGGGCCGTTTCACACAACACATTCTCACTTCCAACTCCACACATACAGACTCGTTTTTGGATGTAAAGTTAGCAACAATAAATATTCAACATCTGGTTAGACTTTCAAAATAAAACTGCTAGTTAACGTTGACGAAACGTAACGTTGCTGATTTGGTGTTGAAAAACATCATGCTTTGGCCTAAAATAACGTTACTTGAGTAAGTTACGCAACAAATAAAACTTGTCAACTTTTTGTTTCATACGGGAAATAGACACTGGTCTCCTTCTTGAAAGTGTGGTTTCTGGCTCACCATCCACCCCAACCACCTCCTTACTTTACCGTTACATATTATACACCTACCTTTAGGGTTGAAAACAACGCTACAGTGCTTCCCTTAGTGTGTTGAACTATGACGCTAAGGCATTCCAGTGCATTACAAAGTGACGCCAAGCGGTCTTGACCATGCGTACATAAGTTTATTTATTTTGAAAGTCTTACGGGACTATAGGCCCCCTAGAGGCTGAGGCAACATCATACGACGTGTTGGAAAAACAGACAGACTGATGATTTAGATACTTTTAGAGTCAGGATATTAAATGTAGACGTTGTCCAAAAGGTTGGGGCTAAAGGGCGAGTCAAGGTGTCACCAGAATCCCCGTTGATCCTCTGGAGAGCAGGACTATCCAAGGTCGAGTAAATCTGGCCAGTAGTTGTTGAGTAGTTGATGGATGGTGATGACGCTTATGTCCTCAGGAAGTAGAGGCTGACCGCTTCATAAAGGAATAGCTGTGTGATAGACAGCAGCTGTCAAACCATCCTCCGCCTCACAGTGTGAATGTGAGAGTGATGTCATCACTGTGGGACAGCAGGAGGCAGTGAGATAATTAAAAAGCGTAATCTCCCCCCGTGTCCGCAGTGAGCCAGCCAGGACCGTACGGCCCAGATGGTCAGCCAATGGGAGGCTTCGTTATGGACGGACAGACACACATGGGAATCAGACCACCTGGTAAACACACACACACACACACACACACACACACACAGTATGTTGTTGTGGATGCAGTTCTTAATGGGTATATAAACATAAACATATTTAACTACTTAAGGGGCAAAAGATGTAAAGTTTGTCCTGCGGAAAGGTCATGTTGTCATGTGATTAAGAACAGGTTTATCCTTTTAGGACAACTCGTACTCAGTTTTTCAGACAAATTTTTTTCTAGTTTTTCAAATAATAGTGACTGGTAAAATGGAATTGGTTACTAGTAACTATTCAAATGTGCAAATAGTTACGAATTACTAAAACATAGTTTCTAGGAACCAATAAATAAGTACGAGTAGCTTTAAATAGTGACTGGTAAGTTTTTAGGAATAAATGTTCAAACGTTTTGCCATGCTAGATCATAGTGTGCGAGCACCTGACCTCATTACCTTCCCCAGAGCCACACCACTGAACACCATGTGGTGCTTTTTGATTTGAACTCCATCTTCTTCATTGTTTTCTGATAATTTCTGTCAAAATGCAATAAAATAAAAGGACAACAATGTACGCTGATTATGACCGTGGTTGCTGATAACATGTTTAGGCCTGTATTCCCAAGATGATGACCTATTGTCTCATCATCTGGAGATCATGTCGTCAGGATATAGAACAGCACTCTGGATACTTATTATTATTATTATTATTATTATTATATAGCTGATTGTTGCTCTTGAGACTTGATTACCTTGAAATCCAGTGGTGGAAAAGGTATTCAGATCCTCTTTTTTCAAGCAAAACTATCAATACCACACACTGTGAATAAGGATTTTCAACAAATTTTACTTTTACTTACTAAAGTAAAAGTACTCATAGTGCAGTAAATTGTTCCCTGTCAGTGTTTCTCTGTATTAATATGGCTGTTGCATTTTACTGCTGTAGAAGGGTTGAGCTCATTTTAACTCCTTTATATCCTGTTGGGTAGTTTAATCTGGAGCAATGCATCATGGTCTATAAGATTATCATGTTTGTAGCGTTGCTCTCTTCTAAGAGGGATTTAAAGAGTTTATTTAGCTGAAGAAAGGGGATGATTTACCCATAAGGGAACACTTTGTCCTGCAATTTATCTAAAGCTATCAAACAAAGTAGTGGAGTAAAGTCCAATATTTGCCTCTGAGATCAGGTGCAATAGAAGTTGTACTCGAGGATTGTACTTGAGAACACTTAGTTCCATTCCTGATGCATTAATGTGACTTAATGATACAGGTAATTCATGATTTAATTGTGTGTTCGTCCTGCAGCTCCTATGGGTGGTGTTGGGATGGGTGTGGAGGGACAGTGGCACTACATGTAGCACCACCAACACCCCCCCTGCCGCTAGAGGACCCGCTCAGTGTCCCAGGAAACCACCGTGAGTAACACAAGTCAGCGGTTTGTTTTGTATCTGATGTCTGTCTCTTCACAACAGTACAGTGGATGTGAACGTAGTTTGTGGTGCGCTCAGAGGATCTCTTTCCCCCGTTAGATGTGAACGGGTTTGGAGCTTCTTCCATAGAAACAGTTTGTTTAGAGCTTTGTGTGAAAATGTGTTTTTTCCTAAAATTAGGTGATGTGAACCTTTTTAACCATTTTTCCCCCCATTGTACTCTCTCCATTGACTGTGACATTGCTGATTTTCATTTTAGAAAGTGTCCATAAATTTAGAAAGCAAAACAATACCTTGCCCTATAAGCATCAAATTTAGGCGTTTTCTTTACTATCAAAAGCAATCCAGGTAATAGGTGCCTGTCTCAGTGGTAACAGCGTAGACAGGAAGTGCTGGCAGCAAATGCAAGGTGAATTTTCACCAAAATGTAAAGACATGTAAATTAAAAACAGCGGGGCTCAGGGTGTGGTCTGACTCACTGTCTCCATAGCATCATTTTTAGGGATGCACAATAATTATCGGCCAATATTGGGCATATTTTCATTATTGGAATTATATCGGGAAATTAAATTCTGGCTGGTAATTTAGCCAATAAGAATGAAACAATGCTTTAACGTTTAAAGTAGCTGCTGTTGTCGCACTCATAGTATCATATTTCTGCGGATAGAGCCACTTACTGAGAGATATAGTTTATTGTTTTGGTTTGCTTACTACTTTGAGATGTATGATTTGACATCTTATGTCAGTCCATTTGATTTAGTTTGAATTTTTATGGTCTTTATGTTTCTATGAAAGCCATACTTTATTTTTTTATATTAATGGGACAAAACATCAATTTTCGACCGCCAAGCGTTTTGATGGCGTTATTGCAGAGCGATGCAGACAACAACACACAAGTAGTCACAACAGTGCATGATACTCGACATAGAAGTATAAATTGGCCTTTAGTGGAAGAGCGCTGTAAAAAGACATCACGTAGAAAACATCTCTCTTATCAACGACTCCTCCCAGCTCCTCCTCGCTAATTAAAGCCATTTCCATCTGATTTAGAGGTCAATTAATCCCCTGAGATCCTCTCCATATTCTGTCTAACGAACTGATCATTAGCGAGAGACGCAGAACGCTCTCATCTTTTTTATTTGATTACACGGAGTCCAATTACTCCTTTAAGCAGTTTTCATTATTAGGCTGGAGTGAGGGGGGAACAGGGGAGATTAAGAGGATGTTAATGTGTAGAAGGGATGTGTAGAGGAGTTAGAGGTGGGGGGGGGGGGGGTGAGGAGGGGTTTCCCTAAACTGTGGTCAGTCAGACGGGAACATCACTCAGACCAAAGACAATTAAAGAGTCTTCAGAAGGAGCGTTAGTCTTTCTTCCCTCTGCCGTCACTGAGTGTATGGCTCTTGGGAAACAATACACCTGTCAGCTGGGATCGATGCAGCCATGCATGCAGCGTGCACACACACGTGCATGAGCAAATGACCACTCTACTGCCATTTGGCCTCTTTTTCCCATTTGCTTATTCTGGAAAAATGATTCTAAACTGGATCTAACTGGACTTAAATTCCAATCATTGACCCTCAAACAGGATCAAGCCAACATTTTAAAACGGTAAACGTTGGCTTTTTAAAATTTTATTTCAGTAGATTCGCCACGGTTAGCTGATTTATAACTTGCCCCACAAAAAAGAGGAGTAGTTTACAGAAGCTTTGTGGCACAAATTTGTATTTTGAATAAACTACGTAAGCTTATCAGGGCCTGAACTAGCTTGATAGGGGACAGTTAGAGAGGTGGATCTGAGAGTCGTTCCTTCCTTGTTTCAGTCATTTTTTTAAAGATATTTTTTTGGCTGTTTGCCTTTCTTTGGGATAGGATAGTCAGTCCCTCCAGGATTTCGTGGTCCTTTTTTGTGATTGTTGCAGCCTGAAATTCCTGATTTTGTGGCAGTTTTTTTTGTATGTAATTGTGAGATGTTGGTATCACACATGTCTGCTGCGTCTTCTAAACAAGGAAGTGAGTTTGCTGAAATATGATGTTTTGGGGGAAACGGCGATGAGGTCATTTGCAGAAAAGTTGCAGCGATTGGTCAAAGTTGAAAGTCGCGCTGAATTCAGGTTTAATTTTTAAGAATTTGTGTTAAGTTGTGATTGCAACATTGTGTAATCCTGGAGGGACTGGATAGAGAAACAGGAAATAAAGGAGATAGAGGGGACGACGTGCAGTAAAGGTCCACAGGCTCAGTAACTCTTTATTGGATGAAATGATGTCCAATCCTGAGACTAAAATGCCAGGGCAGCATTAATGGGATAGTACAGAGAAAACAGAAGGTGCTCAGAGAGATTAGTAGCGCTAGTTTTAGCGGTGGTTAGCTTGCCAGCTCAAGCAGAGCACCAGGGTGACCATATTTCGGTTTTACAAATAAAGAGGACAGGCAGAAGGCAGACGGACAGGAGGGTGCAGGGGGTGAAGGTTGTTCAAGTAATTGGTGGCACGGTGGCAATGTTAAACAAATAAAAAAATAGTTTAGCTTTACCTGAGAAACTCTCACCTTTAGCTGCAATTAAACATGTGTTTTGTGGAGCTTATGTTGGTATGTTTATTTGACACTGACATGTACGTACCAGCTTTCCAGGTCATGATCCAGATTTCCTGTCAGTCAGGTGTTGCTGTGGTGCTGAGAGTAATGATTGAGATGCAGACCCTGAACATTTTGGGCGATTTAGAAATCCCAGCCGGACGCATTTTTTAGGTCCCAACATGTCTGGGGGAAAAAGAGGTTCACCAACTAGCTACTACCTTTTTGCGTCAGACCCATCATCTTCATTCTTTTAAGTCTTCTTCTTGTTGACGTGTCACCTTCTGTTTTCTCTGCAGGACTCAGCAGGTCTGCAGACCTCCTTTGCAGGCGTGGAGCAGGACCCCACGCCTCCTCACCCATCCTTCCCTCAGCCCCACCCCTCCGGGCATCTACCTGGCCTGATGAGGAAAACACCCGACCGCCACCGGAGACGCTTTGTGACTTAAAAATCAGCTGAAGCACAAAAACAAAAGAGAGTGTGGGGACAGCTGAAGATCCTGCAGGGAACAATTACCAGCTGTGCGTCCTGGCTCGTCACACTCGAGGATTTTTCTGAATCAGGACACAAACGTCGATGTGGCGTTTCTGGATTTGATCGTCGGCAGCCCAGAATGTCGTCCAACAGATTTGAACCTTTTTGTTCCTCTCTGGACTACAACTATGGAAGCCTCAAGTGGACATTCTGGCACCAGCAGCGCATCCTTCCCCTCCTCTCCAGCAGTTCAACACATGGAGCTGATGTCTGTATTCTATTGTAAGGCATTCTTTTCAAAATGTCTACAAACCATTTTTTCAAGAGACTGACGCTCTGAAAAATGGGCGGCAGAGGTCACGTGACCGGGCGCTGTTTACTGTGGACTCTCAGAGGGTGAGAGACAAGTTGTTGCAAGCGCTCTGCTGCTGCCTTTTGAATAATATACTGGACTTATACTGTTTCACTTTTCACACCGTGTGTGTTCGGCTTTTTTCACAGACTTCTTTCTTCCCCCTGAGCCCCACAAACCTTTTTGAGTTTAAAATAAAAAACGTGAAGCAAATCTGATCTTCGGTTTGGAGAAAGTCTTTTATTATTGACACCTGGAGGTTTTGGCTCTTTGTGTTAAGATTTGCAGACACTGAACTGCAGTCAAACTCTACAGAAGGTAGTACTTGAGGTCATGTTACAGGTTCATAAACCTCACCTATGAATTCCCATTTTGGGAAACTTTCCACCACATATCAGGGGAAAATGTTTTTACTTTTTTGCTTGACTACATTTATTTGACAGCTGGAGTTAGTGGTTCCTTTGGAGATTTAAGATTTTACATTTAAAATACGAGATGAGCTCATAATATATCCAATATCATCTTATTTTACAGGTTACTTTACTTCCTGGAAATGTTAATGTAAATTCCCAAATTATGGTATAGAACTTTTAATTATTACAACATCTCCATGTAATAGTTATGTTATAACAAACCCTAAAACCATATATAAGGGACATGGAGAAGGTTTATTGCCTGTACTGTTGGTAAACGCTTGCTCATTATAGTATGTTTGTTTAAGAATGGTCTTAATATGCAAACATGCTGTTCAACATATACAAAGTTTAAGTCACTGCATCTACTCCTTACTCCTTTTCTACTTCTTTTGTCATCTATTTGAAGGTTTGCGACTTACTACTAAAGGAAAAAGCCCTCGCGGAGATCTTTGAATTCTGTTCAAGAATTATTCTCCATGGTTGACTTAAAATTTTTCAACTTATTAAATACTTAACGTATCTTCCTTTTCCACATATCACAGTGGTTAATAAACTGTTTCACTCCTCCTCTTTCATTCAAACACAAAAACAACAAGCTGTCGTCCTTCCTTTAATTAAGCTTATAAGTGTTATTTCAAACAATAAAAATCACCTTGCTTGTCCATAACAATAAAACAGTAATAATAATCAAGTATTATGGCTTCAACACAATTAACTGAAGCCAAGATACAGTAATTATACTCAGATGCAAACATTTGCATTAATCTTTGAGTTCATGTCTAGTTCATGATTGTGTATGAAGTTGTATCTTTGTAGTTTGCAGTACATGTTTTATAAGGTCTAATATGGGTCAGAGGTTACCACACTCCCTAAGCGCTACTCCAAGACGACAGCAGGACGGACACGTGCACACACTTTGAAGGCGTTGCACGGTCCTACATCTCAGGCAGCACTAACTTCAGCTTCAGCAACCCGGTCAATTTCTAAAAACACTTTCTCCATGCCTTACCTAATGTACCAAAGTGAAAAGTCCTCAAGCTTTACCCATCATTCTGTCTTTTCTTTATCCTCTTCTATTCTTTTCATTCTAATCTGAAAAACCAAACCTCTACTCTTCCTCACATTACTTCAGTACTTTGGATACTTAAGTATTTTTTGCTGCTCAGACTCGTTTCCTTTTGTTAAATTTGACTTCTTATTGAGTGTATTTTTCCACGGTGGTGTCGCTACCTTTCAATTAAAGCATTTCCTCCATGGTCAGAGAGGGGTGGAAAAACTAACTTTTTAAATTCGAAGAATATCAGTGCTGTTTATTTTGCAGTCTGCAAATAAATCTGAACTATGACATTTTTTTCAGCCTCTTAGCCACCATTTCATCTATTTTCCATTCCTGAATGCCAACTCGACTCAACTCGGATCAAATCAAGACGCTGGAGGAGCTGAACTGAGAGGAAAACTAAAAATTGCAGCTTTAATTTCATGTGTAATATTCGAGAATCACTCTGGTTTTTAAAGAGGAAAGACTGCAACACATCCGCTTGGCCTTTTCTGGCACTCGACCGCGCTGAGCCCAGTTTGGTTTAAATAAATCTCACAGCAAAGTCGTCTCTTTGCACAGTGCACATGCAGACCTGGGAGATGTTTTCCAGCCTTCAGAGCAGCACACTCTGACACAGTCTGGAATCTGAGGTGATTTACGTAAATCGTCTCCAAACTCTTAAATGGAGAGATTAGTTCCCCCTCACGCTCCAGTTGGCCCCCTCAATGGATGTGCTCTCCCAGTCCGCCGGGAGTTTCCTAGATACACCTCATTTCAAAGCTGGAGGCCCCAAAAAAGATCATTTATCTTCCTCTTAAAATCAATTAGTAATTGGAAGTAGGGAGACGAGGATATTCTGACTCTGTGTTTTGTTTGTTTGTTAGAACTGTTTTTTATCCTTGTGACATTTTTTAAACCAACTGGAGATTATTTTTTGAAGCAGAAAAACACCAGAGCTTAAAGCAAACATGCGTCCTCGGGGTGCTGCTCTTCCTCCCTCTGAGCTGACTGACAGGCGGCAGCTTCAGCTCCCATGTTTGACTGCCCTCTTTAGGGGATTGTGGAAACTGCCTTCATCTCCTGTATTTATTTTTTTTCCCAGCTTTTTTTAATGTGTGTGATCAGCTTCAAGTCGGCGGGTGATTGAGTACCCGTCACAGAATCAAACGTGTGCTCACTTGAAAATGCAAAAAAGATTTTTTTTAAAACGGCATGTTGTGTCACAGATGAGTCTCTGAAGGCTGCGGCTGGTGCGACAACAAAATAAACAGCAAAATTATGTTTGAGGAAGATTTTTAAATGACTGTTTGGAGATTTAATTTCCCACAGATCACGCAGGCAGTTACATTACTTATCTAAAGAGACACATTTATTACGATTATTACCACTTTTTATCAAAAACACACTAAAATAGATGTGTGTGAAAAGAATGTTTCTATTGGTGTCTTTCTAGTGGGGTCAAAGGTCATGTCATTCTAACAGAAGTTAGTACAAATGACTACCGGTTTTATGAATGTCTGTCTGAAATCTATGTGCAAACATTTGTTGTATGTAGAGTAATGTGTGCTTTCTGTGTGTAACAGTAACACAATGCAATATCTGAAAAAAAATCTACATGTTGTTTTAGCTGGTGACGCTCGAATTAAAATAACCTGTTTCACTTTTAACTGAAAGTTTAGATTCAGAGATTAGAGCGAATAATAACTTCCTCTTCTGCTACTGATTATGATAACCTTCCTCATCCATCACAGCTACCTATGACTGATATAAAGGTAAGTCAACATGTGCACCTGGTTTCTGTTCACGGTTGTGATTATTTCTCTTTTCTGATCAACATGATAAACATTTGTTCTACAAAGTTCTTACAGAAGTACAGTACAACTTGTATTTGATTGCCTTAATTAGATTTTTCTTTCTGTTATCGTAAGTGAATAATTGGTTTGGCTTCAGTTTGGATCAGCTGTGTTAGTGTTGACAACAAAATGCAGCAGTAGAAAGAGGAAAACCAAAATTTTCTGATATTGTTGCTGGAAATCACATCAGTTTATATTCGTATTAGACCCAGCTTACATCCTACAATTGATACACAAAAAGAACAGCAGCTCACAACTGTGCTCCGTTGTTGATATGCACGTGCACTGTTGAAGCTCTGCCTCTGTGGATGTTTTAGTTTGTCCAGTTAGTTCTGTTCTGTTAGTCATTTAACTGTCATTTTGCATCTTTAAACATTTTACATCTCATTTTGGCGTTAAATGTCTTTTTAGTTGTTCAATGTCTATTTTTTGGACATTTCATGTCTCTTTTTAGTAGTTTGTTAAGTCTCTTTAAAGTAATTTAATCTTTCTTTTTATTTGATAAATGTCTCTTAAGTCATTTAACATCTCTTTTTAGACATTTAATGTTTATTTTTATTGATTTAGCATCTCTTATTAGTCATTTACCATGTTTTTCTTCTCTGTCTGGTCCAGGGTGCCTGTGCCTGAACCTTGTAGGTCTAACCATCCATGATAATAAAAAGCCATCTACCTTCAGGAACCAACCACCTGCCTGCCCCCGATGGCCACCCTTCTTGCCCCACCACTGAATTTTACCACCAACTTCTTGGGGAAACCCTGATGTTTCATGTTAAGTTGGTTTGTGTGATCTTGATATATAAAGGTGAGTCAGCGTCTGTATTTATCACTCTGGTATACGTGTACGTAATCCTCTGTCTGCTCTCAGCAGGAAAGAATGCAGCAGATATGATGCTGATAAATTGGTCCTGAGGGGGGGCTTGTGCCCAGGGGATGACCCTCGCAGAGGTAACAAGGTTTATCTAAACAAACCGACTCCTAATTTGGACTTGAGTAACGAAGGTTAGGCCGAGCAGAGCCAAATTCCATGGAGACATTATTCTGCCTCCTCCAGGTCTGGGCCTGTGACCTGCTGGTCCATCAATACTCAGTTTAAAAACAACAGCCGTCATGAGCTCACTCGCCTCCTCCTGAAACCATCTCTGTTCTCCGTCTACATCTGTGGGATCCAGGCGCACTGAACACAAAGGTGGATAATTTATTGCTTTTAATTAAATGCTTGCTTCAGGACGGATTAAATGTGTGTCTCCATGTGCGGGGCAAAAGGGGAAGGTGTTCAGTGTCGGACAGAGGATCCAGAAA